GGAGGGCCGACTCCGGCACCCCCGGCAGAAAGCCAACACAAATAAATAGCCGCGGTGCCGACTGGGGAAGGAGTCTCCCACCCCTCTCAAGGTGCACTTTTAAACCGCGCCCGTTTTGTAATTTTTTTTACCCCCCGCCCCCGTTTCTGGCTCACCGCGCTTCAGCCAGGCGCTTCAAACGCCACGTTTTCGATGCCTCCCCTCACTTAGGTGGTCACACCTCGGCAGCCCGGCGACAACCGCCACAGGCCTGCCAGCGCTCCCGCCTGCGGTGTGGGCTGAGGCGCCAGGCAGCCCTTCGCCAGCCTCCCGCGCTCGGGAAGCGCTTCGTGTTCGGGTGGGAGACTTCATTTCCCTTCATTTATCTCCTGCTTCAAATCCTCCTGAGATTGTGACTTGCAAGCCCCATACCAGTGCCTCCAGCGTGACAGAAACCCAGCGTGCCCCTGCATCTTCCCTCGCCTCCCACCTGAGTCGCTAGCTACTCTGAGTTTTTTAAGCACAGGGCATCTCTCTCACATTGTGATTTTATACCCTCACCTTTTTTCTCTTTAATATTTGCTGTGAAACTTAAAGGCACAAATGCAAATGAAAAATAAAAACAAGTTTTCTTTCCATTGCTATTAACTAAATAGCAGGGACCATTGGGGAGGAAATGTTGCACCTTTAAATTTCACAGACGAGAAAGGATTAATCAGAGCTTTTTGCAAAGATGAGGAATGGTAAATACTGTATTTTTTAAAAAGTCATTTTCTAAACGTGCCAGACACCCCTTTTTCCTCCTATCATTTCAGATTTAAAAAAATGTTGCAGACTTACATTGATACTATTTTTTCTGGATTTGAGTTGCCTTCAAAAATGGTTTTGAGAAAACCTGTCATGTCGCTTGAGGTCAGTCTTAGATGGCCAGCAATCAGTATTCAGCACAAGAATCAAAATATTTTTCCACAGCTGAAGTCTTGTGTATTTTTACTTAATGCCATGTAAAATAAAGAACAGACTGTAAAAAAAAAAAAAAGTCACGTATTAACTGACAGTTTCTTTTTATTTCCAAAAAAGAGAAGACCGAAGAGCAAGCGGCAGTATTTCCCCCCATACACCCTATTTTTTACTTTTTTTTTTTAATATTAGTTTGATCATTAATACGCCTTTCACGTAAACATGCTATACATTTCAGACAGAATAAAATACGGGCGCAGTTTATGGCTTCCAGTGAGTGGTGCTTGCCATAAATAAGCATGGACAGGTAAGAGGAACCAGCACCGGGCGCTGCATTGTCAAGGGGAGCAGTGAGGCCTTTTGAAGTGCTCTGAGCAGGAAGCAGCGCAGCCTTTTTAATTAGAGCACATACAGCTGGAGGATATACAGGAGGAGTCTCCTCAGAATTTATTTTGGGAAGGGAGGGACATATCCTTCAGGTGTTCTCATTAATGCAGGCTTAAACACAGAGCATAAAACCCAGCATTTTAAGAAGAAAAAAAAAAATAACCCTTTCCCCCCAAATACCAGGGCTGAAATCCTGCTCTGCTTGAAATCAACTGATGTTTTGCCATTTAACTCAATGAGACCATAATTTCTTTCCAAAAAATTAGTATGGACTGCTTGATCCCATTCCCATCAATAATAAGGCTGTATGTAGAAAACTGCTGATATATTTTCAGTGTGTTTACATATAAATACATAGGAACATCAGAAAAAAAAAAATTTCAAGCTCGATCCTGCTTTTCTTCTGCATGTAAGGCCACCCCTGATTTCACAAATGATTTCCATTCTGAGAGGTCAAAGTCAGCTCTCATGTAAGGATCAGACTGGAATTATTTCTGTGGTCTCTGTGCTTTGTATTTTTATGAGAATCGAATTTGGGTCTCTGGAGGCAGAAATACCATTTGGTTTCCTTACTGAGCACTGATGAAAGAAATTTAAAAATCCCTATAAATGATAAACTGGCTGATTCTGAATAGATGTCAGGTTTTGTTACACGGGAGAAGCAGCAAAAGTACCACTGAAAGAGAACTGTAAGCAGTTCTTTTAAACATTATAACTGAAAGCGATCGTTGTTTGCTTTTACCCTCTATCTGGTAGGTCATAATTAGTTTATAATTTTCAAGATTTCTGTAATTGATTACACCATTTAAGTCTGTACTGCTATTTGCTAAGAAAAAGTCCTTGTTAGCACTTTTGCCTTTGTAATAAGAAATCTTGAAACACCTATTTTTTAGATCATTATTACTTTTAGATGTCAGATATGTGATGTCAAAGTATTTGTGAAGACAGAAAATGACAGGTATATTAATGTGTTTAACTGTTAGCTATTGATAAAAATCTCTGTGTAAGAACTAGATATGATTGTTATTAATGACACCTGGTTTTGTTTAATTTGGGAAATAAGCCACATTATTATTTAGGTATTATTTTGTAAACCAATTAAGAAAATACCTGGGTTTAGCTACAGTATGCTACCTTCAAATTTTTGAACTGTAACACAGTTTCCACTAGTGTTACTCCCCATGTTTATTAAAAACATTTCTCCCAAGAGCTAGATGCTTCGTGATCCAAAAAAACAAAATCATTTGACTGTACCACGGCTTTAATCAATCTAATTATTCTCAAAATCTCAGTGTAAAGTAACAGGGGTATTTGTGTGCTTCATGTTGATCTGTGGATACCAGAAATTGTTTTTGTAATAGCAATGAAAGTCATCACGTTTTATTTTCTATTTGATAAATGAATATAAAAAGCAAAAAATCCTTACCCACTCCTTCATTCTTTTGCAAACTGAGTATTATTTTTATGGATCAGTATAGTGAGGTTTGCAGATAGTTTCAGGATAACAAATGCCGATTTCTTACCTATGTGTCCGTAACGTTTCTTTTTTGATCAAGATTGGAGAAGGTCTCTAGGTTATTGATGAGTCTTATTTATCTATGAACTGATAGTAAACTGACTTACAAAATTGCGTATTTCTGCTGTGTTATATCCCATTCAAATGTTTGTTGGGTTTTTTTGCTGTACCTTAGCTTTGAAAGTGTGAAGATGGTGTCTATTTCTAGAAACAGATAACAGATGTATTTGCAAGCAGGTTTTGACACTACGTAAGCAATAAAAGTAAAAAAATAAAAGGTATATTCTTATCATGCAGGTTTTTCTGACTATCTTTCTTAATCTGTTACCTGTTAAAATCTCATTTCAAAATTGTTAAAAATCTGACAAGCACCAACTTCAGAGAATTTATAAAGTATTTCAGGTGTGATTTTAAAAACATAATGCTACCATTATAAAATAAATTCTTATCTTTGAAATCTAAAATAGGCATGTGTAATTTAACCTATCACTATTGAGAGCAGACAAACCTATTTTAAGATACTATGGTGTGAATATATTTATCTCCATATCACTGGAGAAAAGGCTTTTTATTTAGATCTTTAAAGACTGTTTCATTATTGCTTTTTATTTTGTTAGATAGCTTTGTGGAATAGTAACAGGATTTTACAAAACCATTGGGTTTTGAAAAAAAGCATGGGTTGTGTCTTGTGTCTGCGGCATGCATGCTGCTTATTTTTATGTGGAACACTGAAAGAATGCTGTATTAACAAAAAAACCCCAGCTCTAGTGTTATGTATTTCAGCCTTCTGAAAGGTTTTGTGAAAATTTAGTGCCTTAAATATATGCTGTGTATATTTGTATATGAAACAAATATCTTTGATCTGCAGTTTTCTGAGAAACATAGCTGGTTAGTGGATTAGTCTTCTAAAATGTGGCATTTAGTTGTTGTTTGAAGAAACTCATTTCCAAATGTTATGAAATTAATTTTGGTTGGAATTAAAATAGCTTTTTTTTTTTTTAGAAATCAGTGATCAGAGGAGTAAAACTTGCTTGTTTTCTACTGTGTTTTTATCATGGATCAATGGCCCCAAGTCAGATTTAGGCCATTGACCCTCGCCCACTAAGCAGTAAGAGGCTTGGGATGGGGAGTTAGAACATGCCAGCTTTTTTGGGTAATACTGCCTTGGACAAGACCTAGGCCTTGCACAATGGGGAGAGGAGTCCAGTAGCTTATTTGCATTTGAATGACTTCTTAAAGGGGGGGGAGGATGGTATCTGCCTTCCGATTGCTATCCAGCATTATTTCTACATCATTCTGCAAACAAAATCCTCTTGCATTTCCCATGTGGGGCTCCGGATGCTACCACAAAGTCCTTTGCGGAGGTGACACTTTAGCTTGGCAGGCTGGTTGTGGTCGAGATGCCAGTTTGGTTTTGCAGCCTTGTGTCAGGGTCGGTGAGGAGGAGGAGGAGGAGCGGGGAGTCTCCAGGGGGAGAGGGGCAAGACAAGCAGCCCTGCTTCCCAGTCCTTGTCCTGCTGCTGGCGTGGCTGCGCACGTGCTGCGGCTGTAACGAGTCTCGGGAAGTCTGCAAAGGTTCAGCTTCCTACCGTCGCTCATCTTGCATGACACAGTGAAGGCGTTAGAGCTGAGGAGAAGGAGATTGGATTGGGAACTGTACAAAATTGTTTTAAAATTGTTTTTCTCCTGGATCTTTGGACCTATTTCACAACTACAATATAAAGCTACAGCCAGAGAACTGAGATGAAGTCAGCAAAATACTGTTTTTGTTAATCTTGTCAGTTTGTCAATGTTCAGACCAGGCTTTAATACCACGTTCAAGCTGCTTTCTTCCTGCTTCTGCTGCATTGTGGCAACAATGAGGACAGAAGGAGTACCTGTCACTCCTCCACAGGTAGCCCAGACTCTGGCTCCTGTCCAACTACCTCTTCTTGCCTGGACTGCTCTCCAATTCCATGTCCATTTATAGATCCCAGGACACCCCCTTGTCCCCATCTTACCCTGTGACTGAGACCTGTTCCCACAGATGGATCTGGTGGAGGAGCTGCTTTTGCAGCTATCCTATCCCATTTGCCCTGACCTAAAAAGCATTAAAGCTAAAAAGCCTTGTTTGGAAGATGGTCATGCCAAGCTACAGGCTCCTTGCTCAGGCAGGTTCTCCTATTAAAGGCAGCTGGGTGGAGCATTAGCAGATTTGCAGGTTACCATCATTTGTCTTATGAGGTGACCTAAATCAACTGAGTGATCTACCTATCTGGGACAAACACCCACACAGTTCCTTCTTCCTGCAGCATCTTTTGATGCCCTCATTCCAGCGTAGATTACAAATACTTCTCCTAAGATCATGTTCATTGCTTTATTCATCCCACTCATTAACCAGAAGCTGGTTATGTATTATGTATTCTTGTGGATCACCTGTTAAGTTGGTTGACTTGGGGTGGGGAGCGGGGATTGGAAATTAGACAGCATCCAGGTGTATTTAAAGTGGAAGAAGTCTCCTGGGGATGTAAAAGAGAATTGTGGGAATACATTGTAGAGTTCCTAAATGTCAGCTCAGCTGTTCTCACTTCTGCCATGTCCCTGCTCTGAAGTGATTAGCTCAGGATTTTTCTGTAATACCTAAGTTTCGACCTGTGCATCTAGCTGCAGAGGTGAGTACAGATTTAAAGGATGTGTCAGCATGAATACAGGGATGTGTCTGCCAACCGTCAGGTTATCTGGGCCCAAGTCAGAGGCCAGAAGCCAGGGCAGGACTGAAGCCAAGCCCTACCCTCAGTTGGTTCTTGGTCATAAGTCAGTGACTTTTGAGAAAGAAGCAGATGTGGGTTTGCATGTCTCCGAGGTTAAGGGGAAAAAACTGATTCATTTACTGCCCTTTACTGTGGAAAAGTCTTCCCTGCTCATTCCAAGCAATCTCTTACTCTTTCCTCTTTTTAGCACATGTGATCGAAGAAACAATGAACCCTTTTTTTTCTGCCCCCGATGAGGGTTGTATGTTACTTCCAGCAATGCAAAGGGACTTGTGACTCACCCAGCTAAGAAGGACATTCAAAACTGACCCCCAGGTTCGCAGGCAGCGTGATTTTATTGTCCTTCCTGTTTCTATTGTTTTGACAGGTTCCCACAGCCAGCGTCACCATAGAAGGAGCTTCTGCCCTCAACCGTGTCCGCTGGGCCCAGGCTGGGAAGGAGGTAGCAGTTGGTGATTCAGAAGGCCGCATATGGATCTATGATGTTGGAGAGGTATTATTATTGTTTGTTTGGTTTTTTTAAAGCTGAGCTCCTGGAGAATGCCACATGCAAGTTTGAGATCGTGTATCGTTAACACATGAGCAGGACACCTCCAAAGAATAAGCCAGATTTCTTTCAGTGGAGTCCCTGTTGATTTTGGGTTGCCAACAGTGTGTTAGTCGTAAAGCTACCTTGCAAAAGAATTAACTAGTTAAAGTCTCATGAGAGAAGTCTTTTTTGAAAGTTTTCAGTGTTTCTTAAACTTTCTTTTTAATGGTTCTATGAGTACAGTTGGAAAAAGTCATGAAGGAACATAAAGAGGAAAATAGAGGTGCAAAAAGAAGCTGTGTTGTTCTGAAGTTGGTCCTGAAGCGTTCACCTTTTGTACTCCAGTATCTCTTATTTCACGACTGGCTTAATGCTGTAGATTTTTCTCAGCATGACATGTACAGAATACATCTGTTCTTTTAATACTGAATAATGCTGAATATGTCTGAATATGTGCAAACGTACTAACAGGAGGAAATGAGAGGTGTCATTGTGGAGGATGGTAGATGCATGTATGATAAAGAGTATGTAGGTGCTGAGAAATAGCAGGATGAGTATTCTCTGTCTAAGGCTGCTCTCAATTCACGCTGCTACATCTTGTAAAAACCATCTAAACTGCAGCGTGTTTGGCACTGATGGAATCTACTTCTTTGTTGATGAACACGGTATAAAGTGTTCTGTCGGCGTTACAATCCCTTGGAACAGTTAAGGGTGAATCTCTGAGCAATCAGCTTTTATGTAGAGAATTTGTTTTCCATCATTATCTGTGATAGGATACTGAGATACCCATCTCTACACAGTAGGGAAACATTATAGAATACATACAGAATTATCTGTAACTCTCATAAAGTGATTTTATGGCCCATAGCAAAATTGCTTGTGCATGACTCATATTTTTGGATTGCATTCACTTGTGCAGGAGTTGCCTTTCCTCACAAATGTTTGCTGAAACTTCTTGCTGTATTGTTAGCATAATTTCTAAATTGTCTAAGGTTACTGCGTTCAGATTTCCAGTATAACACTGGCAGGTCAGGCTGTTTTTATTTATTTTTCATTTTTGCATGACTGTTCCGAAGAGGTGGTTTTTCTGTCTTCCAAGTGATACGACAGGCTATGGAAATGTCTTTGATGACAGTGCAGTCTGATCTTGTCTGGGAGTCTAGACGGGCTGTAGAAATGTCTTTTTTTGCATATCATACACCAAATCATTCATAGGATTGTTTATCCCTGCAAGCTCACCCAGGAGAAAATAGATTTAGTGTTCTATGCAGAAGAAGCAATATTTAACTTTTTGGCCTTTCCTCTGTATAATCAGACTTCAACTTGCAAAATGAGTCACAGTGATACACTCAGATCAAAACGAAAGACAGGCTTCTATTACTTGAAAAGGAAAAAGAAAAGAGAGTCATTCAAGTATTTATTTGTGTGAGTCCAAATCAGTGTTACATAAAGTGTTCTGCTTCACGGATGTTGCATGCTTTGCCTGTGCAGAGCCCCAGCGTCTCCAGCTCAGCTCCATACACACTTACACAAACAGATGGATGTCCATCCACATGGCTGCTGACAGCTCACGGGCCATTGCCACCCCTCCTCCTCTTCCGTAACGAATGAAGGAGCTCATTAATTTGTTGCCTGGTTCATTTTGGCAGTATCAGTCTCTGCAGTAATTCCTGTACCAAATTTAGGAGAGGTGGTCTGGGCTGCAACAGCTTCAGATACTACCAGGGCTGCTGTGTTGTTAGTGGCTTTTTCTGGTTTAAAAAAGAAGGGTGCTCATATATTCTCCAGCACAACTCTTCTCACTATAAACCCTTAAGTGAGATGCAGAAATACTTTGCAGCTCAGGAGCCTGGAACAGAGGGCTTGTACAGTGAATAACAGCCTCTTCAGTCATTAATCTTCTGTGCCAGTCCATAGAGAGCTCTCTGACGAGTTATTCCGTGCTTAGCTGTCCTCAGGCACGATGCACAGGGGATTCACAGCATGCACATGCACTTTTGGAAGTCTCTGGCAGAAATACGGCAGCCTTTAAGGCTTCACTCTTTACTTCAGTGTGCAGACACTGGACAGTTCCTTGGCTCAGCTGGGGTCCTCCTTTGACTGTCCTTTTTGATGGGTTTGACCCTGGGATATGACAGGGCTGGTCTGACAGTTTAAAAGGGGCAGTCCTTCTCCCCTTGCCAGCCAGCCATCCCTAGCCATATCCCTCGCCGCCCAGTTTGTGTGCGGGTAGCAGTGCTTGTCACCACCCACATTGCGGGGAGGGAGACAGATCAGCAGAGAAATATTGATTTATTTTTTGTTTTGTTTTGTTTTCCTTGGGGTATTTTTCTCCATGAACTGACTCAGTGTGAGAGTAGATGAGTGAGCACGTGGCTGGGGGCAAGGGGCCGGGAGCTGGACCGTACAGCACCTGGCAGCACCTAGCTTTCATATTTGACCCACCAGTATTGCAAAGCCTAACACTAAAGCTGTGACAGTTGACCTTTCAGCAATAGCACTCTACCCATCTCCTACAGCATCAACTTCTGAAAAGGCCTCATCACTGGAAGAATTCATCCCTGCCTGACTGACAACTCAGTAGCATCCACTTATTTGAAGGTGCATCTCTCTGATTTGGGAAGATGGGTGTGATTACTTGCATTAGAAAGTCAGCAGGCCACTTTACAAAGACCCTAAATACACTCACCAAAAACATTAATGCTCCACTTATACTGCACCCTTTTTAAAACCTTTCTTTTCTCATGACTGTTCCAAATATCACATTAGATCAGCTGTAAATTCATAAAACACTGGTTCCATCAGAAAAAATTGTGGTTATAGAATCATAGAATTATAGAATCATTAAAGTTGGAAAAGACCTCTAAGATCATCGAGTCCAACCGTCAACCCAACACCACCATGC